AGGCTGGGGATATAGCTCAGATTGTAGAGTTCTTGCCTTGCATGCAAAAGACCCTGGGTTCAATCCCCAGCACCACCACCAAAAAAAAATTACTTAATTTACCTAAGCTCCTCCCTTGCACGGCAGCATCAGAGGTCAACTACTTTCCCCACATCAGACTCAGCTGAAGAACTTCTTAAAACTGAAGGTTAGGCTTGGGGCACAGCTTAGTATATACAAGGCCCTAGGTTCAATCCACAACACAAGCGCACACACACACACACACACACAAAGGCAGTTTTTCAGATTCCATTTCTGAACATTCTGATCCCACAATGCCCCCAGGAAATGAAATTTTATCAAGCACCTGGAGGATTCCAAGGTCTCAGTCTATGGCACAGAGCAGAATTGGTGGGACTCAGAGAAAGTCTGGGATTGGGGAAGAAGAGTTATATCATGTGGGGATTCTACCTTGCTAGCTCCACTTACCTATCTCCCACCTGGAGTATGTCTACACCACAGCTATGAAGATATTGACATCTCTGAGGGAACCTAGAGCTCTCCCAACATCCTATTTTGTGAAGAGTTGTCTGACCTTGCCCGGTAGTTCCAACCCGGCTGAGTTAATCTGGGAGCTTGTTAAAGATTCAGTTGTATCACCCCACCCCCAATGCACATACACACACACACACATACACACACACACATCCTGAATCCTGAGCCAGAATATTCAGGGAAACCACAGAATGACCTTTTAACAAGTGTCCTGATATCCTCAGTCACCAGCTCTTTCATCTAATTCTTGGAAAGATACACCACACTGGGGAAGTGAGGCAGCCACTGTGTACCCTGCTGTGCCAGGCACCTGGTTTCCCTGATCTTCTCAGTCCTCAGGGCAACATATGTAAGAGATGAGGAGGCTGAAACTCAAGTTTCAAGGCTTGCATAAGGAATCTTAGTTCATACTGTAGCAGATTCAAGCTCCAGTCTGCAGTGGTACACATGTACTTCCCCAGCTACTAGGGGAAGGGAGGCGGAGGATCACTTGAGTCCAGGAGTGTGAGGACAGCCTGGACAGCAGAGCAAGACTCCATTTCAAAAGTGAACAAACAAACAAAAAACAGGGCTGAGGCTGTGGCTCAGTAGTAGAACACATGCCTAGCACAGATAAGAAGCTGGGTTTGATACCCAGCACTGTTAAAACAAAAACTCGTCTGAGGTTTGTTCTTTTGCCAATAAATGGAATCTCACTAGAGTTCACAGGACAGAGTCAGGAGGGGTTGTTACCTTCATTTTGTCAAAGACGAGGCAGCTAAAGTCCAGCCAGAAGAAATGAATTGCCAGGGTCACGAAGCTAAATGAGTGACAAAGCGGATACTTCAGAGGGTGACTCCAAGCCCCTCTGTGCTCTTTTCTCAATACCTGTGGAGCCCTGAGCCCCCAATTCCAATGATAAGTACTGATAACTCCAGCAAAGGGTCCATGAACCAGATGTGCTAGGATGGGATTGGGAGGAAATGGAAAGAGGCAAATCCTGTTTCTCTGAGGTTCCACCCTCCAAGCAGGCTCAGACCCATCATCAACCTCCTACACACTTCCTTCTACCTCCACTGGGAGGTGAGAGGGGCCAGAAGGGTCACAGTCTGGTTGTGGCTGCCCTAAGAAGCAACTGAGGGGCCGAAGGCATGGGGGAAGAAGGGTCCAGGTGTCTGGACCACCAAAGGCAATGAGTGATTTTTTTCAGTAATTATACTTTATTTTAAAGGTACAATTCCCACTTTACACACAAGGAAGTTGAAGCTGAGCTTATGTCATCACTGGTCCAAATGCCAAGATTCTCACCCTACCTGACCGGCTCCTTCTACTTCACCTCTGCCCAGGGGCACCTTGGCAGCAGTTGCCTGCACAGTGGGAGGTATGGAATAGTGACTTTGTTCCATTACTCATAGCAAACCACAGGAAGAATAGTGGTGTGGCACCTCTATTTCTCTGGGTCAGTCATTCCTTCAAGTAGCCTTTCCTGTTAACCTCTTCATGGGTAAAGGGGATACAGAGCTGCCACGGCCCTCTGGAAGCAAATCTGGCCTAAGCTGCCTCAACTCAGTGCTCAACACACACCACTCTCCCTAGCCAGGTCATTACTAAAATGACTGCTCTGAGTGCCAGGCATGGTGGCATACACCTGTAATCCCAGCAACTCCAGAGGCTGAGGTAGGAGAATTGCAAGTTCAAGGCCAGCCTGGGCAATTTAGTGAAACACTGTCTCAAAATTTTTAAAAAATAAAGGGCTAAGGATGTAGCTCAGAGGTGGAATGGTCCTGGCTTCAATCCCTAGTACTACTAAAAAAAAAAAGACTGCTCTGAGCAGAATTCAGGGCTAGGACCTCTGCTGATCTTCCAGGTAGTTCTGTGGCCAAAATATGCCAGAAAGGAAATGGGAAGGCAAAAATATAGGCTATCCTCACTGCAACCCAAATCCCTTAACATGTGTGTTTTGCCTCACCTTCCCTCACTTCTAAGCTCCAGGCACAGCAAAGGATTTTCTAGTCTATGAATGGGGCTATGCTCTGATCTCCAGACCTTTGCCTATCTGTTCCCTCTGTCTTGAAACATCTTCTGTCAGGTCCTTTCCACCTGTGCCAGGCACTAAGCTGCTCCTGGCAGACATTCATCCTTTCCTCCTTGATGACAAAACTTGACTTCATTGGAAACAGTAGGTGCTCAGTCCCAAGGAACAAAGTTCAGTCTATGGCCTGCCTTATTCCTTTGCTATGTTCTCAGCCAGACTTTCCATTAGAAGTGTCCAGGGGACCCATTTGCTGGCCACTGGGAAAACTGCTTCCCTGATGACTTCTGCTTAATAGCTATTATAAGATATGGGGCTGACACAACCTTCCTGCAACTGAGAGGACAAGCCCTCCCAAGAGGATGAAGAAACACAGTAAGAACCTATTTACTTGGTGATATTGTTGAATTTATGAAAAATACCTGAAACCATCTGCTTTAATGTCAAGTGAAACCTTCTCCTAAAATATTCCTAACAGACCAGCATCTGCTTCTGGGTTCCAATTTTTAAAATGGGTCACTTTCTCCAGGAAGCATTCTGTGACTGCTAAGATTAAGAGCTCCCTCTGGAGCGGTGGATGCCTATGTCTCTCCTGATCTGTGTGCCCCAACTGTGAAGAAGACAGCAGGGTCTCCGTGATGCTCACCATTTTATTTCTAGAGTATCTGTTGAAGGAATATGCACACCTGTAGCTGATTCCTAGCACAGCCTTCTGGCTGAGGATGTGGCTCATTAGTAGAGCACCTGACTTCCAAGGAGCAAGGCCCTGGGTTCAGTCCTCAGCAACACACACACACACACACACAAAAAAAAAATCCAGCAGTCTTCAATCAAATCAGGAACTTGTCTAAATGTAAAACAATTTGCCAGGTACAGTGGCACACACCTGTAATACCAGTGACTTGGGAGGCTGAGACAGGATGATGGCAAGTTTGAAGCTAACCCCAATTGCTTAGTTAAGACTCAGCCTCAAATTTAAAATAAATAATGTGGGCTGGGGTTGTGGCTCAGTGATAGAGTATATTAATTTATATTACTAAAATAATACATTTTATTAAATGTAAAAATAAAAATATTGTGTCCACTTAAAAAAATTAATAAATAAAATAAATAATGTAGTTCAGTGGTAAAGTGCCCCTGGATTCAAACCACAGTACTGCCAAAAAAAAAAAAAAAATTAGGAAAAAAAAAATTAAAACTCTAGCACAACTGATGGTAAAGCTGTGCTCTTCAGGCCTGCTAAGCTAATAACCATGGTTGACCTCTAAGGAAGGAGTGGATTTAATAGCACCAACATGCTGGAAGGGTGTCACTTTGCCTGCCTAAAACCCATCAAATGCTGCTCCCTGCAGACTGCACTACCTCATGACACTTATCAGCCAGGTACGGTGACTGAACACAACCTCTTTCTACCTTAATCTGGTACTAGTCAGAGTCACACCCACCCATTCATAAAAGGTTTGGACATGCTCAGCTGTACTTGAAAGGACAGTAAGATAACCAACTTTCTATTTTCTTGTGCAAAGAAGCAAATTAAAATTGTTATATCTTGATATCAGCAGACATCATGCCTTTCATGATCATTTTGTTTACTCATCTTTTGATACTACAAAAGGAAAAAGTCTTGTTTTGAATCACCCAGCTTCTCACACCTTCACATATCTTCTTCACTTCTCCCTTTATGCCCCCTCCTGAGGGCTGATCCACTCTCATAGCAAGCAGAATGTCTGAGGATATACTATAAGCTGGATGCTTTCATCCATTGTTTTATTTAATCCTCGAAATGATCAGTATCTCAGGCTTGGATGCAGTGGTACATGCCTAAAGTCCTGTGGCTACAGGGAGGCCAAGGTGGAGGATTACTTGAGCCCAGGAGTTTGAGACCTGCCTGGGCAACACAGTGAGACCCCTGATCTCAAAAAAAAGGAAAAAATGACAACCATCAACTCGGGAGGCTGAGGCAGGAGGATGACTAGTTCAAAGCCAGCCTCACAACTTAGTGAGGCATTTAGCAACTCAGCGGGACACTGTCTTTAAATAAAATACAACAAAAGGGATGGGTATGTGGCTCAGTGGTTAAGTACCCCTGGGTTCAATCCCCAGTATCAAAAAGAAAAAAAAAATGACAAAAAAACAAACCAAAAAAATCAGTATTCTCATTTTACACAGAAAAAAATAGTACACTGGCAACACCGATTTGCACTATGGTAGCTATTCTAAACACACCAAGGATAAACCTTCCCTAAGAGAAGCCACAGTCTTTGTGTGTGAGGTACTGGGGATTAAGCCTAGGGGCTCACACATGCTGGGCAAGCACTGAGCTACATCCCCAGCTCTCCTTTTGCAGGTGAAGAAATTGGTAGGGAGCTATGTATGTTCAACCCCAATTTCAGGACTAGAGCAAGCTAGACAAGGGACCCATCTTTGGAATAACATCCGAGGGAGAGTACATCAGTGGTTTGGGTATAAAAATTTATTATACATAAAGAATATTACCACTAACGAATGCAGACAGGCTAGGACACAATGGTACTGGATGGAAGATGGCTAGCTCTTTGGAACAGGTTTATAAGTGGCTCAGTGCTTCATGCTGATTGGTCAGTCAGACAGAAGGGCACATGCCAAATACAAGAGGACTTCAGGGCATCAAGCGACTGCTCTGTATGCCCACACTGCCTTCCTTTTCTGATCCGGGGCTTCAAGAGATGGCACACCCAGAAACAAGAACTGAGGCAAAGGGGCTTCCTAATGCAGCCCAGTCTTGTCTCTGAAGTCACAGCAACACCACTGTAAGCAATATGTTTAATTGGATGATTTCCACAAACTATGGAGTTTCTAACCATCACAATTCAGTGAAGTACAAAACATTAAGTTACAGGCTGTGGGAAAGAAGGCAGCACCAATGGTGGCACCTTCCAATCCTGGTTGTTCTAAGGGTAACGGGTGGGGGGAGTATTTTTTAAACAGAGCCCCTCATTTCAATGTACAAAAGAATTATTCTGATCGATATTAAATTGTATTGAAAACAAAATGGACTAAAAAGCAAAACTATTCTATGTTGGGGTGGAGGTGGGAGGAAAAGAATGAGTCCTTCAGAGCAGGAAGGAGAGAGCTGGGGGAAGCTTCTGTGGCTGTGACCCAGGAGGGTCACTCACGCTGCTCCATTTTTACTTTCGGTGGTCTCAGGAAGGTCCGATTTTTCTTCTCTTTCTTCCCCTTTGTATTTGCTTGGAAGTTTCGCCAGCTGTCCACCCGACCATCTCGACTTTCCTAAGAAGAAAGAAAAAAGAAGAAGAACAAAACAAGTTTGAGGTGAGGACACTAGTTAATAAGAGGAAGGGCCTGACCCTGTCTTGCCATCTGCCCACCCTCTGTAGCTCAGCCCAGTTCAGCCCTCTGGAATAATACAAGAATAGAACAGAGCCAAGCTTTCTCCCACTTCCAGGGGCCCAGGAGTCTAATACCACCTCCCAGAAGCAGAGTGAGTCACAGGTTGGAAGAGAAGGGCACAATGAGTAATACTCATCACAATAATGAGGTCCTCATTTGTTGGAGACCTCTGGGCTAAGTGGTCAGCATACGTTCTCCTTTTTTTTTTTTTTTTTCTTTTCAGAGCTAGGTATAGAAGCCAGGGCCTGGGACATGGGACATGCTAGGCAAGTGCTCTACCACTGAGCTACATCCCCAACCCTAGCATATGTTATTTTTAACCTTTACTACAGTGTGTACTGCAACTAGCATTTCACAAATTTCTCTGGATTTCAGAAAGGTTAAATTGTTTTCTCAAAGTCACACAGCTAGCCAGCAGTCCCAGCCATTCTTTCCACTACACCTTCCTATTGTTCTCCTGAACTTGGATGAAGGCACCAAAGCCAGCTGTGCTGAGAGGGCCACAGAATCTATATCTTATTATCAAGGGACATGCTCTTTTCTTTCTTTTCATACATGGGACAGAAACAAAGTCATCAATTCTAGTTAACCAATGTAGCATTCCTTGCGACAAAAACACTCAGGGTCACTCCAGGGGAACTGGGCTGTACAAAATAACCACACAAGAGACACAGATACCTTTTTCTTTGGGGGTCCTGTGACGACTCCTCTGACCTTAAGGGTCCACAGAAAGAGAGAGTGAGTACTGAACCCTTTTATTGAGGTAAAGCCATTCAAATGAGGCAAGGGGTCAGGTTTCAGGAGTGTGAGTCTAGCTTTGTGATGTATCCTGTCAGCAGATTGACATCTAAGAAGGCCACACCCAAAGGCAGAGCAAGAGCAGGGGACACACAAAGGGCATTTCCATGGAACATTCTATCCCAACAGGGCAAAGGGGTAATATCACAAAGGAACAGGTGATCGTAGCTCAATCCATGGGGCTACAGGAAAGACACATTCTGCTACTTTGAGGAGCCGGGCAATATCCAGGTCACTATGAAAGTGACTAACAGAGTCTGTTGCGATCACAGGAAGGAGAATGCCAGTCATTCAGCGAGAATGCCTCCCACAAACCAACCCTGAGTCCTAAACTGTATAAAAGAAAGACCAGTGGGTGGAGCTATAGATCAGTGGTAAAAATGCTTCCCTAGCAAGTCACAGACCCTGGGTTCAAGTCTTAGCACTAAAAGAATTTAAAAAAAGACAAAGAAGGAAGATCAAATGATGCTACAACCCAGAAACTGACCAAGCAGTTTAAGTATATAACCAAGAATATCAAAGAAAAGTCAAGTTCAAAAACCTCAAATCTCAGCAGGAAAGACACAGGGGTCACAAGGACCTCAGTTTCTACTAACAGTCCTCTAGGTAGGGTACTACACTATGTTTACCCCCTTAAATTAAATGCACAATCTATTTTTCTTAGGCCCACTTTGCAGCTTTGCCTACTACAATCTCTAAAAAATCACTTGGGGATCCTCATTGCCCCTGCCAAAACTACAGAGCTTATGAGGTTGAGTCAGACCAGACTCAACCTCTACAGCTCCTACTCTTCCCCACATCCCCCATTTCCCTCTGTTTACCCTAGTCGGTCCTGGGAATGCCCCAGGAACCAAGTTTCCTTATCCTGAAATAAGAATCCCTAGCCACTTTAGCAGTTTACCTCAAAGTTTTTCTGCCATTCCCTTTCTCGTTTGGCTTTTTCTTGAGCTTCAATCTCCTCTTCCCTTTGTCGTTTCCTAGTGGAAAAGACATAAAAAAAATATTTATGTGATATTTACAAATTGTGTTAACTAAAAAATTTAAGGTATGTCCCTATAGAAGCAAACATATAAAGTCAATTCCTTAGAAATTTATAAAGATGGCTGTCTGGAAAGGGCTCAAAACATTTTTGTGAAGGTCTCATTCTAAACATGCAAATGAGACTGTGGGCAGGGGTTTGGGAAGGACATAGCCATCCCTGTTATAAAGAAAGATGAGGTAATCAAACCTGGCCTTTAGTAATCTAAAATGTTTGGTTTAGCCAGCAACAAAGTTATGTTGAGAACACAGACCACCTTATTTCAGAGAAATGAGTTTCTTTATCAAAAAGATCTCTGGACAACACCCAACTCTAAAATAACATATCACACAACCTCAACTAGCAAAATCTAGTTACTGCTGAACTCCAACCAACAATACAAAATACAGGAACCAAACTAGCCTCCATATTTCTGATGACTAAGTGAAATCATATATTAGTATAAATGATTACATTATACAATATTATATACTCACCAAAGTTGCAGCTACAAGTCCCATAAAAGGTTCTGGCCTCAGTAACAATGGCCTTAATTACCGTGCCTATTTTATTCCAGAAAGTCAGGAAGAAACACACAATACTTCTGAGTAAAACTAAAATCCCTAAAGGACAGGTCAATTTAGTATTTCCCAAAAAGTCAAACAACACTTCTTACCACGGTAATTCAAAATCTTGGCAATTTCAGATAACTATTTTAGACAACCTCTTAAATGATGTACTACCCAATTCCTTCATTAGGAAAATACCAAGAGACCAAAGTTAATTAATTTAGGCATTAGATATAGCTCAAAGGAATGTACAGATGTGTACCTTTCATGCATCTCTTTGGCTTCTCTCTCTTTTCTTTTAATTTCCAGCTCAGCAAAGAGTTTCATGGTCTGTTTATATACTGCTTGTTTGAACTACAAGAAAATTAAGGACAAAAGAAAATAAAATTAAGTATTTTACAACAACTTTGAATCAAGTACTTGCATTTGGAGCCCAAGACAAAAAGCAGATTAAACCCAGCAATGAAAAAAGATTCTTCAGAGAGAACCAGTCAACAATGCTGCTCTTAGAAGATAAATCATCTGTCAACCTAAGAGATCTTTCATCTTCTACCACACACACAGATGGCACCAGGAATCTGGCTCTGGCAAAAAGCTCTTAAAAGAATTCTACACTCTATTACCACCACTTGATGTTTTAGAGGGTACTCTCCTCTAAAGAACTTGTAAAAATAATTTTTATTTTTTTTTTTCACAAATATTTTACAATTATCTACTCAGCCAGACCAAAGCTGGGCAGTAAGCTGGTTGCTATGAAACTGATAAGTCTCAAGGGTCTACTAATAAGGCAGAGCTACTTGTTACCCCTCCACTATAATCCCCTAAGGGACAAAGTCACCCAACATAAAAATCCGTATTTCCACCAAGCACTGTGGCATATGCCTGTAATCCCTGCAATTTGGGAAACTGAGGCAGGAAGATGGCAAATACAAAGCCAGTCACAGCAACATAAGGAGACCCTAAGCAATTTAGTAAGACTCTGTCTCAAAAATAAAAAGGGCTGGAGATGTGGCTTGTTCAGTGGTAAAATACCCCTGGATTAAATCCCAAGTAACCAAAAAAAGAAGAGTCCATATTCCCCAGGTTTCCTGGTAGCTAGGTATGGCCCTATAACTTAAGTATTAGTTAGTCTATGGGATGCAAGGAAAAGGGATATATACAACTTCTGGAATGCTTTTTGAGGTTCTTCCCCCTTTCCTCTATTCTCCTGTTTGGCACATGGGTAAGCTGATGAGACAGACATCCTGAACTATGAGGATAGGGCAACATCCTTGTTTATAAAGCCAAAGAACAGAGTAGTCCAAGACCATGGATGACACACAGTATAGAGCTGCCACACCAGCAGCCACCCTCCCCAACACTATCATACAGGAGAGACAACAAATCTCTATCTTGTTCAAACTACCACCATTTTGTATCTCAGTTGTATGCACCTAACACAGTGACAAAACTGATAATACAGCATTGGGGAAAATACACAGGAGTGGTAGTTGTTGTTTCTGATGCTGAGGATCAAACCTAAGGTCTGATACCTGGTACACAGGTGCTCTACCTCACTCCCAGCCCACAAAGAGCCTTTTTAAAAAGTGTATTATAAGCCAGGTACAGTGGGGAATGCCTGTAATCCCAGCAGCTCAGGAGGCTGAGGCAGCAGGATCGCAAGTTCAAAGCCAACTTCAGCAATTTAGCAAGGCCCTAAGCAATAGTAAGACTCTGTCTCAAAATAAAAACAGAAAAAGGCCTGGGGATATGATTCAATGGTGAAGCACCCCTGGCACTCTAGCACCAAAGAATTAATAAAAAATAAATATTTTTTTAAAAATTTAACTGAATTATATAACAGCCTTAAAGAATTTATAAAAATTACAGAGAAATAAGTGATTGCAAGTTCAAAGCCAACTTCAGCAATTTAGCAAGGCCCTAAGCAATAGTAAGACTCTGTCTCAAAATAAAAACAGAAAAAGGCCTGGGGATGTGATTCAATGGTGAAGCACCCCTGGCACTCTAGCACCAAAGAATTAATAAAAAATATATATTTTTTTAATTTTAAGTGAATTATATAACAGCCTTAAAGAATTTATAAAAATTACAGAGAAATAAGTGAAAGTAAGTGACCTAGCTCTTATCACACAAAGTTATTAATAAAACCTTAGTCCCGGGGCTGGGGTTGTGGCTCAAGGGTAGAGCACTTGCCTGGCATGGGTGAGGCAGTGAGTTCAATCCTCACCACATAGGAGTAAAGTAAAATTGGGGTGTTGTGTCCATCTACAACTAAAAAGTATTAAAAAACAAAAATAAAAACAACACACAATTCCCTCCCCACTAGCTTTATTTTTTTTTTATTTTTTTGAGAGAGGGTCTAAATTGCTCAGGATCTTGCTAAATTGCTGAGGCTGTCTTTGAACTCCTGCCTCAGCCACTGCGATTACAGGCATGCACCACCCCAGCTTAAACCCAGGAGCGCTTAACCACTGAGCCACATCCCTAGCCTTTTTTTTTTTTTTTTCCTAAATTTTGAGACAGGATCTCACTGAATCTCTTAGGGTCTCACTAAATTGCTAAAGCGGGCTTTGAATTCATGATCCTCCTGCCTCAACCTCCCGAGCCACTGGGATTACAGGGATGTTACCATACCCAGATTTCCACCAGCTTTTAATTCTTTAGTTTCAGGAGTTCTTAAGAATAACTGCGTGCAATGGCCCACACCTGTAATCCCAGCAACTGGTTCAATCTCCAGTACCACAAAAATAAATAAATAAATAAAAAGCCAGATGCAGTGGTGCAGCTTGTAATCTCAGTGACTTGGGAGGCTGAGCCAAGAGGATTGCAAATTCAAGGCCAGCTCCAACAAGTTAATGAGGCCCTGTTTCAAAATAAAAAATAAAAATAGCTATAGTTCAGTGGTCAAGAACCCCAAGGTTCAATCCCCAGTAACACCCCCTCCCCAGAAAAAAGTAGAATCTCCCTTAACCAATGTCCACTAAATAATCCATGGGTTATCTAAAACCCTCTATTTTCTCTGCAAAGCATCACCTGAAGCACCATGAACACCCAGGACCAACAGACAGACATCTGTTACCAAGGGTTGGCTATATTCTTCCCAAAGCTTTCTACGCCAGCTATTAATTATTATAATAGCTACAGGGATTTAAATCTCAGAAATTGATGAATATAGTTATAAAATAAATGCTTATTTCTTTGAAAGATCCATTGCACTTGAGTTCTAAAAAGTAATTGCTGGTGAATTACATACAAGAAATCTGGAAAAGACTAAAAAATGAATCACATTTCTTGGATTGCTTCAAAAAGAATCCAAGTTTACAGTATACTTCAAAAGAAATTAAAAGTAGATAATATTTGGTGTGCGTGGCTTATACAATAGTCAACTGCAAACTCCAGTCAAAAGATGTACACCCAAAGTAGTAGTGACAGTCCTTCATCAGAGTAAGGTGAATGAATGTAAAATTATGTTTCAGTGTACAATTATAACATTTTAAGTTAAAATGTTTACAGCACATATGCATCTTTTTCAGGCCTCCCTCTCTTTAAACCCACCAATCAGTGCACCCAATCAAACAAGATAGAGTGGCTTTTCTCACATCTAACTTACCAGCTCAGGATCATCTTCCTCTACATTTGTAGGTTTTCCTTCCTTCTTTAATTGTTTTTTCCGCTCTTTTACCTAAAAAGAATTTTTTTCATCAGAAGATGAGCACCCACACTTTGAGACTACCAATGAGCTGCACACATCTGATGTGTACACTTTTCTGTAGATATAGACATAACAGGAAGCTTACAGTAAGAAACAGCAAGCCTCTCCTCACCAAAACAAACAAACAAAAAACTTAGCAATGCAACTAAGGAAAACTAGGAACATTAGGTCCTTTCTCTAACCTCATCTAAAATCCAATCTACCAGAAAGGATGAGAGAGGATCTGGAGGATCAGCAACTCCTAAGACTGAGTCAGATCCACATAGCCTTTGCTACGCTGAATAGATTACCTGTTTACTTTTCTTGACTTGTGGTTATACAGTTACAGAAATAAAAACTACAACAACAACAAAAACACTGCTTGTCACGTTTTAGAAGAAGCTACAAAATTGTGGCATAAGTGTAAGTAGGATTTTTTTTTAGCACTTCTACAACTACATTCTTATTCCTTTTCACTGTGAAACTCCCTGAAACCAATAATTTTCACATCACATTAACTTATATTTTTATCACTTTAGCCACCACTGAGTCTTAAAAAATAAATCAAATATACCTATTCACACAAGATTGATACCATTGCATTAAATAACCTATTATATCATCCAAAAGTCAAGTGCATTCCAAGCTCTGAAAGGCCCTACTGCCACCTTGTGGTAAAGAAGTCTAAGGGTGACTTTCTTACAGGTAAAATACAAAAAGGAAGGGTTCCTTAACTACTACAACGACTTACGGAGAAAAGGTCATGCACTTTTCTGATATCTACTAGGATTGGACCTACAGGTGCCATTTCCAACACATGACCAGTGGGATGCAGTTATGGTCCTTCATCTCTTCTTTAAATTTACTTTATTCATCTAAATTAAATTCTTCTTCTTCTTCTTTTTTTTTTTAATTATTATTATTATTATTATTATTAAAGTTCTATTTCAGACTCCAAAGCTCTTCAAAAGGCAGGTCACATTCCACATTCACTCACCATTGAAACAGCTCTTATAACAGCCTTGAGATTCTTGCTCCAGCAAGTAAAACATTAAAGACCTTTCTTACCTCAAGCATGCCTCTTCCCATCACTTATAAGATTTATAAAATTCCCCAAAAGCAAAAAACAAAAACAAAAAACACCAGCCATATCTGAATTTCTTTCAACTGAGTCTTTTCCAACTCTGTTATTAACATGAATATGTACCTTCTTTAAAAACAAACAAACAAAAAAAAAAACTTTACTTAGATTCCCCTAGCCAGCACTTCTCAAGTCCACGTTCCAAGCCCTTCACAGGGACAAGAACAAAAATCGAGAATCAAGCATCATATCACACAGCTGAATCACTTTTCTACTATGAGCGGAAATGTGGCAACATGTAATGAGCAGCTCTGTCCACAACACAGGACTGTTTGGGAAAGAGAGGAGCAGTATCCTAGCCATTCCTTATCCTGAGCTTTTCTCTTGGGGTGAATTTTAGCTTTAGGCACACACTATTCTTGACTACAACAGATCTGTGGTGGAGACCACATAAGTAGTCAGAGTAATGCTGGTAGGCACTACTATGTTACATTTACCCTCCTACATGATGCCCAAGGCTTGCTGATACTTCCTATAAACACAGCAGCACTATAAATACTTACAGTGTGTTCCACGTATTCTTTTCCTGCCTGAATTACATCCAGGGCCCTCTTCTTTTGTTCCTGATCCAGTAGCAACTTGTAAGCTTTGTCCACAGCTAATGCAAAACATTGAAATTAACTGTTTCTGCAAACACCCTCTGAAAATCTGAACTATACTCAGGCAGTGTAAATGGACTTGTGCTGTCTAAAAGCATTCCCTACTTTGTTAAATTATTTACTTGTTAAACTAAATTTTTTTTAAAAGCACTGATCTACAACAATAACCTTGAAAGCCTTTGAAAAAATTTAGTACACCTTCAAGGCTAAATACACCAGATCTAGATTAAAACTCAGAGATAAAATATTTCCTATTTTTTTATATTCAAAGAAAAAAATATCCTAAGCAATAACAGTCTTGTTGGCACATAAAAGTTTTAACAATATTAAGGTCTACTTTTTCTTTTTTTGCAGTGCTGGAGATCAAACCCAGGGCCTCATGCATGATAGGCAAGCACTCTACCACTAAGCCACATTCCCAACCCCCAAAGTCTGCTGCTTAAACAGCAACATTAAACAACTGTTTTACTGAAATCCACAGCCTTTTCATGACCAGAAAATAAAACTATAACATTCTTTTTTCAGAACAAGGAACAGTTAGCTCCTAGCATTGAAAATATATTACTCAGAAGCAGGTAAATTTACAAATACCTTCAAAAGCCTTTTGTGCTCTATCAGCATCATCTTGATTTTTGTCAGGATGCACCAATATGGACAACTACAAGAAAAGTTAGGATCATCAATAAGAGAAACATTTAGTAACTCTTGGAATGCATTACATTCCCCTTACTACACAAAATGCTTAAGATACTATGACCAAAAAAGGCTCAGTAGGAAGCATTTTTAAAATTTTGACAAATCTCATCAAATGCCCTAAAATATTGGTCTTTAACAAAATTCAAAAAGTAAATGCTCAAGTGGGAAACATTTACGCAAATCTGAGACCAAATGGAAGGCTAATATGAAGATGTTATAAAAATTCAGGGGAAGAAGGAAATCAAAAAGTACTATTTTGATCCTTATGCTGAGCACTGAGGGGGACAAAGCACGTCTGAGAAATCATCTTTCCTAAAAGAAACTTTTCCTAAAAGAACCCCTAATATAAAATAGTGGGTCTCAGATCCAGTTACACGACAAACATCTTTTCAAAAATACAGATGTCTACTTTCCACCCTCTGACCTGAAAATCTGGCACCTGGACTTCGTAAACCTCTATTACAACAGGTTTCAGATAATAATAAAGAATTATTGTTAATTTTGTTAGATGAGATAAGTAGTTGTACAAGAGAATGTCCTTTATTTTGGGGGGATATATACTGAAGTATTTAGGGGTGAAGCATCATGGTGTCTGCAATTTACAAATGATTCAAAGATATACAGTTAATGAAGTGAATGCTAGACATAGATGTTGGGTATGAGAGTATTTTTGTTCTTTCTTTTTAAAATATAAAATTTTCATAATAAGGATTGGAGTTGTGGCTCAGTGGTAGAGCACTTGCCTAGCATGTGTGAGGCACTGGGCTCAATTCTCAGCACCTCATATAAGTAAATAAATGAAATAAAGGTCCATCAACAACTAAAAAAATATTTGGAAAAAAAATTCATAATAAGAAAGTGAAAAAAATAAAGAAAACTTACACAGATGATTCTTCCAGACATCTGTAATTAAGATACCTGACATAATGTTATTGACAGACAAAACCCAACTTTTTCAAACAAAGGAACTGTGTTAAGGAACAAAAACAAATAGGAAATTAGGCCATTATACAAAAGGGGGGGAGGGGAATATAAAGCTAAATTGAGCATTACTAGAGCCATAATCCTGTGGTCTAATTTCCAACTTAAATCACTTACTAGTATGAGACCTTGAGTCACTCATCTAACCTCTATCTGCCTCAGTTTCCTGCTCTAGAAATGGAAGAATATTAGGTACCTATATCTAAGTGGGTTGTTGTATGAATGAGATTAATATAAGTAAAGAAATTAGCATACTAGTAAATATTGACAATAGTTAGTATATAAGAGGACATGATAAACACCAAGACATTCTAAGTGTTTTAAATACTTATTCATGAATTTTACAAGAAAGTAACAGGCATAAAGGTTTAAAGAAACTTGCCCAAGTTCACTCATACTGCTTGTGGGTGGTACAGTCAAGATTTAAACTAAAGTCATACAGCTCCATTGCCTCTCTTGTAAGGCCATATAATAATTCAATAAAAATTCTTGACTCTTAATGAGTTCTTAAATACATAAAAAGCTGTTTAGATTAAGGACTTGAATGCTTGCTTATTAAATTGGAAAAGACTGCTAATGCATTATATGAGGAAACAAGATTTTTGGAAAAGGAAAAAAAGTCAAATTTAAGTGCAGAGTAGAGCTCAGAAAAAAAAAGTTATAGAGTTATATAATGGGAAATGACTGAGCAGGCAAAGATAAAAACAATTTTGGCTTAACAGTAGATCAAAAGATGACTATGAGTCAGCAATATGGAGAAAATTCACTGAAGAAGCAAACATAATACTGAATATTAACAAGCATATCATACAAAACTGAAGTATTACATTCAGCACTGGTTAGGTACTATTAAAATATGAAATATATCAAAGAAGTTAGGGAAGGTTACCATAAAGTATAAAACAGAAAGCCCAAATATGTGGGGGAAAAAAGAAAAAAGAAATCCAGGCATTTTTTTTTCAGGAATAGTTAATGAATTCAGTTTCAGATAACATTGCAAATATCTTCGCAAAATGACTGATTTTAACTTTGAAGTATCCTTGGCATGAAATTAAAATATGATTAATGTATTTTTAAAAATAAATATAATAAAATAGAAAACCCTATTTGCAAAGATAAATTATAAGGAATATCATCATTCAACTCCTAGGTTATTCAGCTGTGAAAACTGAGACTGTTTTCAAAAAAGTTACTATAAAACTTTGTAGTTCAAGTCATTAAACATAAGAATAGCCAAGAATCAGAGGCTGGTAGATCTACTTTCCTGGGGAATTTTCAAAAAGAACTTTAAGTCAGGCAAGGTAATGTACACCTCTAATTTCAAGCTACATGGGAGGATGAGGCAGGAAGATCACAAGTTCAAGGTTAGCCTGGGCAACACAAAGAGACCCCATCTCCAGTTAAAAGCACTCTCAATGTTAAACCAGGTATTTCTTAGGTATCTATGTAAGTTGGGAGATAAAATTGAAAAATAAGACAGGCACCACGGTACACACCCGCAACTCAGCAACTCAGGATGCTGAAACAGGAAGATCACCTGAGAGTTCAAGGTCTGCCTGGGTAACATAGGCAGATCCTTGTCTCTTTAAAAAAAATTATTGAAGATCGAAGTCTTAAAGATAAAAAGGTGTTATGAATCACTTTAATGTGTTCTCTCCTAGAAGACAGGGGATTTAGTAAGCATGACTCCATATAAATTCTACTAGTCTATTCTTAAATTAAGGGGCTGGAGAGATTTTCTTTGGACATAAAATTCATTCTATTCACAGGTAAGCTAAAGTCATTAAATTATTTAATATTTTTATGAGTTTTTTAAAGAACAGTTATCTAGTCTTAAGTTGGGGGAAAAAAAGTTTAAACTTTGGCCTAAAAGTATCAGTTTGAATCATATGTTTTACAGATTTTTCAAAAGATTCAAACTCTATTACAGGAAAATAGTATTGTACCTGCCGAAACCTCTTTTTTATTTCTTCATCTGTCACTTCCGGGTCTATCTGAAGAACCTGCAAGAGTCAAAATCAAAATTGTAAAAAGATTAAATAATTTATATTTGAGAGGTAGCCAATAATTACATTTAATAGAGCTGGGATATATAGCTCAGTCAGTGATAGAGCACTTGCCCAGCATGCACAAGGCCCTGAGTTCAATCTCCAGCAACACACACACACACACACACACACACACACAGAGTAAAACTATAATCAGCATTTAGAACTGTACCCTTTGTTCTAGAACACTGACTGGCACATAATTCTAAAAATTGCTCAAGAAATACAAATGATCAAGTCAGTAACAGAATAAAAGCTATATTGATTTAAGGTTCTCAATTAAATAATGCTAACTTTCCATCAGAAAATTATTTACCTTACACCCAGAGACATATTTTGTTTTGTTTTTGTGGTGCTGGAAAGTAGAATCTATTTTCAAGGCAAGCACTCAACCCCTGAGCTACTCCATAGCCTTAGAGACATATTTCTATATCATGAGAAAATATATTTCTCCTTCATTTGTTAAGTACCAGCCATCCCACCTCCCCTTATTCTTTACAAATGTAAATAAAGCACAGCAACTCAGAGAAAAAAATTACACCCTACCTGATTTTCATCTCAGTAAGAAAAGGTCACTTTGTAATTTACATAGCCCAATGACTCTCAACCCTGAGTGAACATGAGAATCACTGTGGAAACCTGTGAGCAATACATGGGACCCACTTTAGGAAAGTCTGATTCCAACTCTGTAGAGGTAGAGTACAGACAAATGACAGGGACATCTATATTTTTTGAGCAACACTGTTTCAAAAAAAACAAATTTCATCACTCTTCTCTAACCTGATGTGTTCTGGTGTTGACATTCCCTATCACGGACTCTGACCCCATCACCACAAATATACTCATTCATTCAAATGTTTATCTTTATAACTACTACCTGAATATATTCATATGTACTAGAAATGCAAAAATAAATAGGGGGAACTTTTTTATTTTGTTTTTATTTTTGTTTTTGGTGGTACAGATTGAACTCAGGGGCACTCTACCACTAGTCCTTTTTTCATTTTTGAGACAGGGTCTTGCTTAGTTGCTGAGGCTGGTTTCAAATTTGCAATCCTCTTGCCTCAACCTCCCAAGTTGCTGGAACTATAGGCATGTGCCACTTCACCTAGCAGGGGCACATATTTTAACTGCTATAGTAAGTGCTTTTTACAGAAGAGAGTGGTATAAGTAGATGAGTTCGTAGTGCAGTCCATGGGTTTCACATAGCATGTTTATTTGGTATTTAGGGCCTGAGGATGGTGCCAAAAAAGCAGAGGTTAAAAAGAATGTTAGAAATACTGAAGAATAGGCCCCACTTCAGCCTGAATAAATTATAACAAACATTTTAACAAGAGTCCCATATGATCTGTATCATAGTAGAGTTTGAGACACAGCCATAAGGAATGATGACTGAGGTAGAAATAAGTACATTCCAAAGTTAGTAGAAATGAGGATTGGTTAATAAGGAAAGCAAAGAGAAAAAATGAAAATAAGTCTTGAAATAAAAATACAGAACAGAAAAATCAAAACTGAAAAAAGGTCTTCTAAGTTTAGTCAAACACTTGCAGGATCTTAGAAATACCTGGCAACAAGTAATATAAAGATTTTAAAATATATAGTCCACCAACAGCCATAGCAACTAGTAGGCAATGAAGCAGAATAATCATTATTGCATTAATAAACTATTTTTTCCTAATCCTGGGGATGGAATCCAGAGGCACTCTACCATTGAGCTATGTAGTCCTAGCTCTTTGTTTTTGAGACAGAGTTTTACCAAGTTGCCAAGGCTGACTTCAAACTTGTAATTCTCCTGCCTCAGCTTCCTGAGTCTCTGGGATTACAGGTGCACACTACCACACCTGGCTTTTAAATTAACAGACTTTTAAAGGGTATAACAGGACCATACCCATTCTCAAATACTAGGCACACAATCAAGGATAAGGGAGAAGTGAGACCAACTACTTCAAAACAAAAATTAGAGTCAGTGTACCCACTGATATCTTCCCAAGGGAAAAAGATTTGGGGGCTGGGGATACAGCTCAGTTGGTAGAGTGCTTGCTTGCATGCACAAGGACCTGGGTTCTAATCCCCAACACCACACCACCACACACACACACACACACACACACACACATATAATTGGGAGTCACTCAATGGGAAGAGCAAAGCCATTTAAGATTACCAACAAGGGGAGGTTAACTTTACATACAAAAATATTCAAAGGAGAACCATTGGTTTTAGGGAAAAAGCTTAAGGACCCTAAAAGGTGTCCAAAGTGAATGATAAAAAATGGAAATTCTCTCATCTTCACAAAAAGGTCTCTAAAAAAAAAATTACAGTTTAGAACTAATCATGCCAAATGTACTCCATAAATCTTGGTAGGTTCTTTTAAAAAATATATATTATGGTGTATATTTGAGATTTGTAGCATGTCATGGGATACACACAGAGAGAAAAATGATTACTATAATGGGTCAGTTAAAAGCATAAAATTGCTATACAGGAGATCTGGGGGACAACTGGGGCCATTTGAGTGTGGATTATATGCTGGATGATGTCTTTTATTTATTTATTTTTAATGATACTGGGATTGAAACCAGGGACGCTGTAACACTGAGCTATATTCTTCCTTAGCCCCTTTTTAAAGGTTTTATTTTGAGACAGGGTCTTACTAAGTTCCTTAGAGCCTTGCTAAGTTGCTGAGGCTGGCCTTGAACTTGTGATCCTCCTGCTTCAGGCTCCCAAATCACTAGAATTACAGGCATACTGCACCATACATGCCTGATGATATAATTTAATCAATGTTTTTTATGTGTGGTAATAGTATTGTGGTTATATGGGACAGTATTATTGGTTTTTGTTTTAATTGTAGATGAACACAATACCTTCACTTTTATTTATTTATTTTTATGTGGTGCTAAGGATCGAACCCAGTGCCTCACATGGTTAGGCAGGCACTCTACCACTGACCCACAACCCAGCCCAAGTGTTCTTGTTTTGGGATGCATGCTAAGGTATTTAGTAATGAAGTGTTAGAATATGTACAGCTTGCTTTCACACATATGGTAAAAAAAAAAAAAAAAGAAGAAGAAGAAGAAAAAAGACCCCACAAACACACAAAAAAGTTATTTTTCCAACTTTAATCATATATGCACTAATCACTGGCAACAAATATTCACCAATTGCCTTCAAAACTAATCAACTCACAATGGGCACAGTGGCACATGTCTGAAATCCCAGTGACTTAGGAGTCTAAGGCAGGACTGCAAGTTTGAGACCAGCTCAAAAAATAAAGAATGAGACCCAGTCTCAAAAAATAAAGAGGGCTGGGTAGAGTGCCCCTGAGTTCAAACCCCAGCACCAAAAGCACACAAAACTAATTCAACCCTCAGTCTTGAAGAGTTGAAAGTAGCCATTAAATAGTGAAAATAAATGTTTTACACCTGTCACCCAAACCTCTTTGAAATCAATTTTCTATATTCAGTACAAACTTCAGAAGCACTGAAGACGGCTAGATAGAGTAGAACATAAGATTCTAGAGTAGAACATAAAAAGTAATCCTGACAATAATGAGTAACACCAGGTTGCCAGTATGGCTCTAAGAAAACAAAGAGGTGCTAGGAGCAGAGATGAAACCTGTAATCCTAGCTACTTGGGAGACTGAGGCAGGAAAATCAAAAGTTCAAGGTCAGCCTGGGAAACTTATTGAGACTGTCTCAAATAAAAATAAGGGGCTGGGGACATAGCTCAGTTGGTAGAGTGCTTACCTTTCATGCACAAGGCCCTGGGTTCAATCCCCAGCACCACAAAAAAAAATAATAATAAAAAAAATAAGGCTGGGGATGTAATTCAGTGGTAGAGTATTTGCCTAGCATATGTGGAACCCTGGGTTCAATCCCCATCCCTGGGATTAAAAAAAAGCAAACAATTTTTTTGTGTGTTCCAACTCTGCAAAGGTTTATTGTAACTCCATTGTGCTTCAGGCTTTGGAGATATAGTAATGAGAGAGATGCAATGTATTGAACCTCAAAGAACTAATAAATCATCACACTGTGGGGCAGGAAGAAGACTTTACTGTGGCATTCAGATAAATTCCTGAACTCAATTACAGTAGTCTCCTTTGGGATCTTCAGGAATGTGGTCTTAGTTCACACCTGAACTCCCTGACCTGCTAATAATGTGTAAGTTCTGGAGTCTTGTAAAATAAATACCTTGAAATCCTAATACTAAACAGGATAAACAGAAAAGGTCTGTGGATCTGGCTGGTGGATCCTTACAATTTCAAAAGTAGCATCAAAGGACAGAGTACATCTAACCTTAAGGGCCTTTAGATTAAGAATAATCACAGAAACTGGGCTTGTGGCATACCTATAATCCCAGCTACTGGGGAGGCTGAGGCAGGAGGATCTTGAGTTCACAACTAGTCTCAGCAACTTAGTGAAATCCTGTCTCAAAATAAAAAATAAAAAGAGCTGGGGATGTGGCTCAATGGTTAAGCACGCCTGGATTCAATCTCCAGTACCAAATTTTTTTAAAAAAAAGAATAATTGTAGAGCCAGGCACACCTGTTATCCCCGTGAGTTGAGACTAAGGCAGGAAGATCACAAATTGGAGGCCAGCCTCCACAATTTAGCAAGACCATGTCTCAAAACAATTTTTTTTAAAGGCCGGGGATGTAGTTAAGTGGCAAAGTATCCCTAGGCTCAATCCCCAGTAATGAAAATAATAATAGTAACAACTATAGAATTCCTAAGAAAGATGCTTACATAATGGCTTAAAGAAATGTGTCCAAATAAAGAAATGGTAGGAAGGAGGGGGTGGGGTTATGGCTCAGTAGTACAGTGCTCGCCTAGCATGAGTGAGGCACTGGGTTGGTTCCTCAGTACCACGTTAAAAAAAAAAGAAAGAAAGAAAGAAAGAAATGGCAGGAAGGAAAGAAAAACACATGAACAATACTCCCTAGATAGAGATTTCTGCAATAAAACTCTCAGACTTCCAATCTAACTTTCCCAGTTTCTATCTGTTGCTCAGTAAGGACTATTGGAGGATGGCAAGTTCACAGCCAGCCTCAGCAACTTAACAAGACCCTAGGCAACTTAGTAAGACCCTGTCTCAAAAATTAAAAAAAAAAGAGTCTAGGGATGTGGCTCAGTGGTTAGCACCCCTGGGTTCAATCCCCAGTATCAACTAAAAAAAAAAGTTTGAGGACAGCCATCACTGCAGTGTCTCCTCTAACTAAAAAAAGACCAATATGCATACCTTTGTAGAAGATCTGATTCATTCAATGTCTCAAGAGGTACTACATTAAAAAACAGAAGTCACAGATTTTTCTAATGGGCTAATAACACATAATTCTGAATCAAAAAGTAACTTTAGGGCTGGGAAGCTATAACTCAGTGATTTCAATCAACAGCAACATCCCCCCCCCCAAAAAAAAAGCAACTTTGTAAGGCAATCACATATACTAACACATATACAAAGTAGCTGACATGTTCATATGAAATATAACAGACAATAGTTCTAAAGGACAGTCATAGAATCTTGCCTAAACATAACTTCACACCTTCCTGAGGATGCAACTTTAACATATCTATCTTCACATATTCAGAACTACTTACTATGCTCAGAACAAGAGCTATGAGGCAGTTGGTTCCACTTCTAGAATGATATCAACTACTAGTGCACTAAAATTCTAGCCTTTACATTGGTCCCCAATAATCTGTCACTTTTCATCAATCAGATGAAAATGACAATTAGCCCTCTGTAGTCACAGGTTCTACATCTATAGATTCAATCAACTATATGGATCAAAAACATTCAGAAAAACAGCTGGGGTTGCAGCTTGCCTAGCATGTATGAGGCACTGGGTTCAAATCTCAGCACCATATGTAAATAAGTAAATAAAATAAAATAAAGGTCCATTGGCAACTAAGAAAATATTTAAAAAACAACAACAACACACAACATTCAGAATAAAACTGCATCTGTATTAAACATAAAGACTTTTTCCTGTCATTATCCCCTAAACAATATAGTATAATGACCACTTAAATAGCATATATACTACAGTACAGAGAATGTGAATAGGTTAAATGTAAACATCACCCCATTACGTATCTCAGATTTTCCCTCTATGAATATTATGAATATAACAATATTCACTTTTCCACCTATAAGTATTATGAATATAACAATATTCACTTCAAAATTATATATAAATGTCAACAGTTAGAAGCTAGTTTGAACCTGTCACAATAAAGAAATTATTAAATATAATAAACTTTTTTAAAATGTTGTAAGAGGGCTGGGGATGTGGCTCAAGCGGTAGCGCGCTCGCCTGGCCTGCGTGCGGCCCGGGTTGGATCCTCAGCACCACATACAAACAAAGATGTTGTGTCCGCCGATAACTAAAAAATAAATATTAAAAAATTCTCAAAAAAAAATGTTGTAAGAAAATAGTTTTATAACAATATAATATAGCATAAAGTTGGGGCTAGGACTATAGGTCAGTGACGAAGTGCATTACCAAGGACCTGAATTCAATTCTCAGCTCCTCCAGCTCCCTCCAAAAAATACTATGAAGTGTATGATACTATTTTTAAATAAAACAGTTTAACGGGAGTGACTATATCTCTTAGATGGGATTAAACACAGTTATTTATTCTTGTTTGTTCTATTTTTTGCCTATATTTGTCAAGGCTGGCCTCAAACTTGTGATGCTCCTGCCTTAGCCTCCCTACTCACTGGAATTACACACCTTGTTTTACGAGTAGTTTAAATCAAGGATCCTAAATTTTTAAGGCTAGCTACCCCTTTACATCTGAAAATATTGTATATTTTGGTTGCTAATAGATAATGGAGGGGATAGGGCCGTGGCTCAGCAGTATAGCACATGCCTAGCATGTGTGAGGCACTGGATTTTGATCCCCAGCACCAGATTAAAAAAAGGTAAATAAACAAAGGTATTGTATCCATCTACACCTGAAAAAAATTTTTTAAAAAAGATAATGGAGAACATTTCAAAGGCAAAGACCATCTCATTTTCTTTAACATGCTGCCTAACTGTGCTCACAGTAAAACTACTCAAGTTCAAAGACAACCTACCTACTGCATAAAGTTCTTTACTACAGAATTTTCTGAATCCCAACAGATACAAATTAACTGTGTGTTCTGATATAAGTCTGCCTGCAGATATCAGAGAGACCATGGCAACATCAATCAGCTCACCTCAAATGGGTTCAAGTTGAAATAAGAGGAACCAGGACGGGTCAATCTTTCAATCTGATTTTTGGACGTCAGAACTGAATCTCTCTTCTCTATTTGTTTCACCTAAAGCGGATTAAACAATTCATTAACCTCAATAATAAGCTCAAAATTATCTTAACATAATACTCAGTAACATGTTCAGCAAACAATTATTTATACATCTAGATATTTTACTAAACACTGAGGAATAATTACAACAGCTACTATTTATTGAATTTCAATAACATAACAATTTTACATGTATTTATTAATCTAAATAATCCTACTTGATAGGTATTACTATTATCCCCATTTTGCAGATAAGAAAATAGACTTAAAAAGGTTAACCAACTTTTTCCTAACTTTGTAAAAGTAGAATTTTTATCCCAGCAGTTTGACTCTAGAACAGGAATCAAACTTCTTTTTCCCTTTAAAAAAAAAAAAAAAAAAGATTCAAAGAGTAAGACACTGGGTTCAATCCCAAGCACTGCCTTCTCCCCTACCCAAAAAAAGGATTTGAAGATAAATAAGTCATGACCACCACCCTCAGTTTCCACTCTAATGATGGAAGATTCACTTGTATATGTTTACACTTAATTTACAACTTTTTATTTAAAAAAATATATATAACGGTTACCATGAATCATGAACTATAAGGGAAGGAGCAAATAACTCCTCCCACATATCTCTAACAGAATTAGCAAAAATCCCTGTCTGGGAGACAATGCCAAGGAGAACAAACACTAGGTAGTCCTGAGGAAATATCCTAGGTGCCACTGTCAGGGTTGGAATGCTGGCTAGAATGAATCTCTAGTATGTTTTATAACATCTATAGTCAAAACAAGGTTGGAAAGAATTTCAACAACATAAAAAAGCCATTCCTTCTCACCATCTTCTCTCTTCACTTTAAAACAGAAGGATCACTCCTGTCATACTCTCTAATCCTCTTTCCCAGACTTATTTTCCTCACAATACTTATACTCATAACCCTTATTCCTACTTACATATTACACTGTATATGTCTATGGTCCTTCTCTACAGAATGCAAGCTTTATGAAGACAGGATCTTTTCCTGTAATTCACTACCATATTCCCAGAACCTAAACAGAACAGTAGTGCATGGTAAGTGCTCATTATATAGTGGTTAATGACTGAAGACTTTCCTTAGGCACTTTCTCCCATTGGATTTAAATAAACAAAGGTTGCTACTTTTTTAAATTAAGAGATGGTAAGTAAAACAAGTCCCAATATAATTGCTGAGTCACTAGAAGTCAATAAACTTTAGTATCAGGGCATGGACCTGTATATATTTACACTCAAGTGAAGTATTTCAAAAGGACAGATTAAAAAGGATGTGCTAATTCATGGTTTTAAATGTAATACTATGAAGAAGATACTATGTAACAAGTGTCCTTACAAATCCCAGAGTTAGCTGGGATGTAGCTCAGTGGTAGAGCTCTTGCATAGCACTCAAGGCCCTGGATTCGATTTCCAGCACCACAAGGGAAAAAAAAAAGTTTACAAATACCAGATATAAAAGATAAATGAGGCATGGTCCACAATTTTAATTAGCTCACAACTATTTCCTCATATCCATACCCTCTTACAGAGATCCCATCTTCAGCTTCACTTTAATTCTGGGAAAGATTCTTGTGCTTTATATTTTGTAAAACCCTTTCTTATATGTTAACTCCCTTAATTCTAATGAAAATTCTTGCTTTAATATTAATTTCCTTGTTTTATAGTCATGTAAACTGATGACCGTCAAGATTAAGGCCCTGAAAGAATTCAACCCAAATCAAGTTAATTGCCTTGCAAAACTTCAACCTGAGGGCCTTTGAGTCTTATGTTTTTCTTTCATATATTCATTCATTTACTCAACAAATACTTAGCAAGCATCTACTGTACCCTAGGCGCTGGAGATGCAATAGTAAATAAAGCTCGGACCAAGCATGCTCCCGTCCTGACACCAAGTTGTTACCTGCTATAAGATCCCGAACAAATTACTTCACCTCCCTACACCTCAGGTTTGTTATCTGCAAAATGGGGGGGAGACTGTAATGCCTACCTGTCATGATGCAGTGCCTAGTGTTGGTGAACCACAGAAATAATCACTAATACAACTCATTACAGAGGAGTCATGGCTTCTGTTTAGAATAAGACAGCTAAGTCACCCCCACTAAGGGCCCAACCTCTGCCAGCCCAAGCCTCCAGTCTTAGGGCACTGTGCCCGCGCTCAGGCACCCCGCTGGCCACATTTGTATTCTCCCTCCAAACGTCGGGCACCCATCACTCATACAATGCAAGGGGATTTCCCCAGCAGCTATAGCTGCCAGAGGCGCGCACACACCCCCAGACCCCGCTGCCCCAAAGGCCGGACAGGAGGAGCCGGCCAACGGTCCAAGCCAGGAGAGCCACTGCCTCCGTTCACTGCGAAAAAAGGCCAGAGTGGTATCTCCAGGCTCCAGTATTCCTCATTCTGTGTTCACCTCACTGTAAAAGGTCATAAATGCTTCCTCTGTGCTGCCTCCGCCGGCCGAAGCCCCGCTCTCTCCTGAAGCCGCCATTTCCCCGGCCCAGCCACCACGTGACCCTTCTGCGCAGGCGCTGCCTCACGTGATTCTCACAAGCCCGCCTCTCTGGCCCCACCTCCTCCACCCAGTCGCGATCCTTAAAGGGCTCCAGCCCTTAAGTGCGCATTGTTTGAATTGCGGTGAAACACACACAGCATATAGTCGGCTATTTTCAAGTGAACATTTCCGTGGGTGTTAGTACATTGACAGTGTTATGCAACCATCACCTCTATCTACTTTCAAAATAATCACCTCAAAAGGAGATTTGGTATCCATTAAGCAGTTACTCTCCATTGCCCTCCTCCCCAGTTCTTGACTGCAACTGATGTGTTCTGTCTCCATGAATTTACTTATTCTGGATATTTCACATAGATGGGAATCATACAATATGTGACTGCTCTGTATATGTTCCTTTCATTTAGCATAATATTTTCAAAGTTTATTCAAAGTCTGTTATGTATCAGAGTTCCATTTATGGCTGCATCATATTCCACTATAGCATTTTTATACCGCAGTTTGTTTATCTGTTCACCAGTTCATGGACATTTGGATGTTCCCACCTTTTGGCTCTCGTAAAATATTGCTGCTTTAAACAGGTATGTACACTATTTGAGCACTTGTCTGTCTTTTTTTTTTTTTTTTTGGTTGGGGGATTGAATCCAGGGGTGTTCTACTAGTGAGCTTCACCCCCAGCCATCCCTTTCTAATTTTGAGAAATTTTGAGACAGGGTCTTACTAAGTTGACCAGGCCGGCCTCTACTGATCCTCCTGCCCCAGCTTCCTGAGATTACAGACATGCACCACCACAGTAGGCTGTGTACTTATTTTCAATTAGGGGGTGGATATATACCTAGAAGGAAATTGTTCAGTTATATAATTCTATATTTTTGTAGTGCTGGGGATTTTTTTTTTTTATTTCTTGTGATGCTGGGGATTTATCCCAGGACCTGATACATGTGAGGCAAGCACTCTACCAACTGAGCTATATCCCAGGGATTTAACCCATGGCCTCATGCATGCTAGGCAAGCACTCTACCACTGAGCCACATCCCAGCCTGATGATTTTATGTTTAATTTTTTGAGCCACCACTAAGAGCTTTTCCACAGCAGCTGGTCCATTTTACATTCCCACCAGCAATGTATGAGAGTTCCAATTTCTCCACCTTCTCACCAACAGTTGTTATTTTCCTTTATATATCCTTTATTATGGCATCCCAGTGCCTAGATGGATCTTTTGCACAAGCTCAGCAAGATCTTCCATTGGACGTTCAGCCTAGGAGATGATCAAAAAGCAGCAGTATCACCAGGCACAGTGGCACATGCCTGTAATCCCAGCAGCTCCGGAGGCTAAGGCAGGAGGATCACAAGTTCAAAGCCAGCCTCAGCAACAGCAAGCAATGGGCAACTCAGTGAGACCCTGTCTCTAAATAAAATACAAAATAGGGCTGGGGATGTGTCTCAGTGGTCAAGTGCTCCTGAGTTTAATTCCCTGTACCAAAAAAAAAAAAAAAAGTTATCTGAGAACTAGAGAGTTCTGAACTGGAATGACACATGACACTCATCTAGAAACACACACAATTATTATTATAACTAGATAGTGGTCTCACAAGTTGTTTTTTCCACCAGGAGCAGTGGTATACACCTGTAATCCCCAGCTTCTGGGGAGACTGAGGCAGAAAGATTCCCAGCCCCCCCCACACACACATTATTATTTCCAACCTTCCTTCTCTGCATGTTTTCTTAAATTATCTGTAATATACACTTGAAAATATGCCCAGCAGCTATTTCTTCCCATTGAAGGCACACAAACCAGGGCTATTGTTTTCAATAAAAACCAGTTCTATTTCATAGAAAACAGGTTTTTTCACAATAATGAATAAGATAGATAATCTGACCTGACACTTTCATTTTTCTCTTCTTCTAAAGGAAAAAGAAACTTGGCCCAGAGATAGAAAACGACATAGGCAAAGGCTGTGAACTTCATGAAGGTAAAGACTCCTGTTGTCTTGTTCACATTATTAGATGGAAGGAAAGTCAAGGCAAAGCCTTCTTTAGACTCATATTAATGTTCTTTTCTATTCTTGAACCACATTACCAAAAAGTTTAGTTATCAAGCCTGTTCAACAGCATATTAACACAGTTCACAAATATTAATTCACTACCTACTTAAGGCCCTGATGACTTCACAAGTTTAAATGTGAAAATAGAAAGAGACAGAGAGCACAAAATAGGGGGATGTGATAGAATCGCTGGTCATAGAATGACTGAGGAGGTCAGGAAAGATTTCCAAGAAGGTGAAATTTAAGCTGGGACTTGTGACTGAAATGTCAATGCAACAAGAGAACACTGAAACCTCCTACGAGATAAACATGATTTCTTGTGTATTAAATCGGGGCGTGTTGGAGATCGGTGTACTGGACCTCAGCATCCTAGAAATAGGTTCCAAACGCTCCTGATCCCCATTTTATCGATGCCAGCAGGAAAAGAGGAAAAGGACGCTTCGAGTTTTCAGTAATATCGACTTTAGGACTGAAAGTACGTGGTAAGGGCAAATGCCACGCCTTAGTCCATTGGGTCCAAGAACCGAAATTTCGGCTTTAGTCACTATTACCCTCTTATCCAACCTGCTCTATCAGTGTTCTCCAGCCCTTTGGCATCTCAACCCTTGTTAGAGGTTGGCTAAAAATAGACCAGCCTCTCTCTGGATTTGCGGTTGCTCTTTCAGGAGCCCCGCCTCCTCTCTCTCCTGATTCGTTACTCCTATGTTCCTCCCGCCCCGTCACCGAATAGATTGGCTGTCTGAGCATCCTCGAGCTTAGCGCGTAGAGAGAAGCGGCCAAGCCAGTGAGCAGAGAGGTGCGGCGCTAGTAACAATGGCAGGCACGGCGTTGGCGGCCAGGGCGCGGCTCGGCGTACTGGGAATGAGAGCCATGCAAACCCGAGGCTTTGGTTCGGACCAGGTACGCTGCGGCAGTTTCTGCTGCCCTATCCCTGTGGGCGGATCGTCTCTTCCTTTCTACATCTTTACCAATATCCGGGTCTCTCTCCGCAGTCCGAGGATGTTGACAGACGCGCTGGAGCGATCCGGGAAGCCGGTGGGGCCTTCGGGAAGAGAGAGCGGGCTGAAGAGGAACGATACTTCCGGTGAGGCCCACCGGGTCCCAAGTCCAGTGCTAACAATCCCAGAGCCTTCCCATCCTTCTTAAGCCTCAGTCACCCCACTCATCCCTACCTGGTGCCTTGGGGTGCCCCATCCTTCAGCAGAAAACCCGGACCCCCAATTCATTACACCGTGACAGTTGAGGTCCGGACTTTTGCCATCTAGAGCGCGCTCCGAGGACCTCTCGCCACAGCACCAGGGCCCCAAGCCCAAGCCTTTCCCAACGGGTCTCCAGAATTCCTAGCCCGCGGCTCAACTCCTCTTTTGCCATTTACCATCTCCTTGCCTGCGGTGATCCTCCTTACCCCTTGTGGTGCGAAACGCCTCCAGATTCTTAGCGCGGTGTCGAGATCCTACTGTTTATTACTTGTAGACTCTCTGAGCTGACTCCTTCAGGCTTCACCCACTTTTCATCCCCTCTCCCCCTCCTCTAAACGCCTTAGCTTTGCAAACCCTTATGGGTTCTCTGAACCTTCAGTCCCACTCAGCCATTTCTAGACCCTGTGCGTCTCTATCTGCGCTTGATTGAGAGGGTTTTAGGAATTGGTAGCACCTGCTCATGGTTGGGCTCACCCATGCTGCAGATTTTTGCCCTTCTCAGCCCAGGCCAGACCCTGGGCTGGAAATTAGGAGTAAGGAGTGCACTGGGCTAAGGTACTTTCTTTCCCAGCCCCTGCGTTATCTTTGACGTCTGTTCACACTGGGGAGAAGCAGCAAGGAATTAATCTTGCTTCTTTTTCTGTTAGGTCTGTGCCTTGTCTTAAAAATTATCATTTAGAGTTTGGGGTTGTGGCTCAGTGACAGAGCGCTTGCCTCGCGTATGTGAGGCCCTGTGTTCGATCCTTAGCAATACATAAAAATAAATAAACAAAATAAAGGAATTAGGGCTGGGGTTGTGGCTCTGCAGTAGAGCATTCGCCTAGCATGTACAGCGCCCTGGGTTCGATCCAACACCATATAAAAATGAATAAAATAAAGGTTAAAAAAATAAAGGTATTAAAAAGTTATCATGGGGCCGGGCACCGTGGCACATGCCTTGTCATCCCAGCAATTTGGGAGGCTGAGGCAGAAGGATGGAAAATTGGAGACCAGCTAGGTGTGGTGGTGCTCGCCTGTAATCCCAGCAGCTGCAGAGTCTGAGACAGGAAGATCATGAATTCAGAGCCAGCCTCAGCAAAAGCGAGGCACTAAGCAACTCAGTGAGACCCTGTTTCTGAATAAAATACACAAAAGGGCTGGGGATGTGGCTCAGTGGTGGAGGGCCCCTGAGTTCAAGCCCCGATACCAAAAATGAGTAGAATAATCACAACACCATACTAGAGAGCCAGGGTCCAGCCCTTAGAGACCATTTAATTGGCCTCTACATTCTTATTTATTTATTTATTTTAGTTGTAGATGGACACAGTATCTTTATTTATGTATTTGTTTGTTTATTTTTATGAGGTGCTGAGGATCGAACCTGTGAGGCAAATGTTCTATCACTGAGCTACAGCCCCAACCCTGGGCCTCTGCATTCTACAGTTAAGGAAAACAGGCCTAAATGTGGCCATACCAACATTTTTATATTCTCCCTTCTTGAGAACTAATTGAACTGCTGAACACTTAAACATGCAAGAGATCCCCTCTTTTTTGGACTTTACAGTGAGCCATGCATTCTCTAGTCAAATTGGGATAGTTAGTGGATATTTATACCTTCTTTGTCACCCTCCTTTTGCTCCTTTTATTCCTCCTGGGCAAGCTAGCCCACACCTATAATAATATAATCCCAGCTACTGGGTAGACTGAGGCATGAGGATAGAAAGTTGGAGGACAGTCTTGGCAACCCTGATTCAGAATATAATTTAAGGCCTGGGATTGAAGCTCAGAGGTAGAGCGCTTGCCTCTCATATATAAGGCCTGGGATTGATCCTCAGCACCACATAAAAATAAATAAATAAAAACAAATTATAATTTAAAAGCATGGGGGGGGATATAGCTCAGGGGTAGAGTGCTTGCCTTCCATGTGGTAGGATCCTGGGTATGATCCCCAGTACCACAAGAAGGGGGGAAAAAAGGGCTTCTGACTCTCAGGGTTGTTTTTCTGAAATTTGAAAAGAATAGTTCATAATGATGGAGTTTTAGGCATTAGCACCAGGAAAATTGAATCATTTTGATGATCCTCCTTAAGGTGGATGTACCTTAATTTAGGATGGGGTATTCTTTGACTAGTGGGGGTTATGGGTAAAAGAGGATGGTCAAGTCGACTCCTATGGGATTGGGATGCCTGTCTTTGTTTTTTGTTGTTTTGTTTTGTTCTGGGGATTAAACCCAGGGATGCTTTATCACTGATCTACATCCCCAACCCTTTTTATTTTGAGACAGGGTCTTGCTAAGTTGTTGAAGCTGGTTTCGAATTTGCCATCCTCCTGCCTCCCAAGCCACTGGGAGGGTGTACAGGTGCACACCCCTATGTCCAGCTGGGACACCTGGTTTTTTACCTTAGGTATTAAAGGTTATGCTTAGAAATCTCTTTGGGGTAAAAAAATTGGAATCACACCTGAAGCCACTGTGTCCTCACAGAGAGAAGACTAGAGAACAACTGGCAATCTTGAAGAAACATCATGAAGATGAGATCAGTCATCATAAGAAGGAGATTGAACGTCTGCAGAAAGAAATTGAGCGGCATAAGCAGAAGATTAAACATCTACACAATGATGATTAAGTGCACACAGTTCCCCATAGAATGGCATATATCATTGCCCACTTCTACATAAACATAATTCTGGTTTACTTAATTGTTCTGTGTGTTGCCAGTAGATAATAAATGGTCATTATCGAACTGTGTTTGATGCCTTCTTCTATCTAGGAGACACGTGGTAGAGGGAAAGACTCCATGTATCTCCTAAAATGAATGAATTAGATTGGCTCCTGCAACAGGGAGCTCACAGAAAATGTGAAGCTTTAAAAGTCAGAAGCAATGTAGAGAATGGAGAAGGATGATTATTTCAAAAGACGCAGCATCAGTAATAGAATACTGCATTTATAAATGGATTAAAAGGATTCATGAACTAGTCATTCTTATTCTAATTTTGCAAATGGAGACAAATAATAACATGTACAGCATTGCCTGAAGTCACTTAGTACCTTGGAGTTGAGACTTGTATCCAGTTTTTTTTTTTTTGACTCCTTTCCAAGACTTTTTGTTTGTTTTATGGTATTGAGGATCAAACCCAGGAACTTGCTCAGCTCTACCACTAAGCTTCATCCCTCAAATTAGATCATAAGGCTGAAAATATACAAACTTGTAACTTATCTAAATAAAAAAAAATTGAGATGACATTGGGCCACTAGTAAAACATTTTCAGTTTACCAGTTCAATGCATCATTTACCCAGAATTATGAGTTTCTTGTTTCGAGACGATAGTACACAAAGACCTTTGGGGCCATTTGTGTGATAAAATGGCAAAAGAAAAGTCATTGACCTAGCTTGTTCAGACAAGATATCAGATGGTTGTTTTCAAAACTTAAACTTGCACATGAACACTGAAATCTGCTGATGGGAGGTTTATAGATACTTGGGATGTGGGAATGCCAGCAATAACATGACCTCAAAGATGAACCACAAGAAGTGATCACACTGAAATTGGGGATGTAGTGTTGGGTAAAGTGCTTGCCTATCATGCTCAAGGCCCTGAATTCAATCCAGCACTGAAAAAAAAAAAAAAAATCCTAAGTTCCTACATTGTGCTTTTTATTTTTTTAACAACATTACAAAACCGAAAAGTTTAAAATATTAGATAAAAATCAGTCTATTGGCCTGGGGATATAGCTCAGTTGGTAGAGTGCTTGCCTTGTATGCACAAGACCCTGGGTTCAATCCCTAGCATCAAAAAAAAAAAAAAAAAAAAAAAATCTATTGATGATTGGACAAAGCAAGAAAAGTTGGAACTTTAAAGTGAAGATGAACATAACTTGAATTGTTGAAAATAGTAATTTTAGAGCAGACTAATTTAAAAATACTTAAACTTTTGAAAATGGTAACTCTTGTCTTTTTATTATGACATACCTGTGCTTAATTTTTCTCATGTTGCAATAAAAGTAAGATATACATATTGAGTAACAATACATGTGAAAATCCTAAAATAATTTGTGTGACATGGCCCAATAACCAAACAACACAGCACAGGTCATAAGATTCACCTGGGATACAGAAGCACCCCAGGTTATTCTTTAGAATCAAGCAAAATTGAAAAACACTATTGCAATCCTTCCGAAACCAGCAGCATTACCTTGACCTGGGACTTTGTTAAAAATTCAAATTCTCAGCCCCAACTCCACCCCAAACTGGAGAGGGGAACCCAGAGATCAGTTTTTTATTTTTAATGTTCTTTTTAAAAATTTATTTTTTAAACAGATACAACATTTTTTATATGTTTGTTTATCCATTTTTATGCGGTGCTGAAGATCAAACCCAGTTCCTCTCACATACTAGGCAAGTGCTCTACCACTGAGCCACAACCCCAGCCCCTTAAAAAATGTATTTTTAGTTGTCATTGGACCTTTATTTTATTTATTTATATATGGTGCTGAGAATCAAACACCAGTGCTTCACACATGCTAGGCAAGTGCTCTACCACTGAGCCACAACCCCAGCCAGCAGAAATTAGTTTTAACAAACCTCCAGTTAGTTCTGATAGCCATTGGTGTTTGAGGATCATTGTCGTACAGGCAATTTCTCACAGAATCTGCTGACATGCTTGGGCAAACAACATTTTTATAAATGCAGATTACTAAGTATAGTTGGTCCTCAATATCTATGGGTTCTGCATTCCAGGATTCAACCAACTGTAGGGAAAAAACAAACTCAAGCCCTGCATGGTGGTGCATGCATGTAATGCCAGTAGTTTCGAGGCTGAGGCAGGAGATTGCAAGTTCAAAGCCATTCTCAACAATTTAGTGAGACCTTAAGCAACTTAGTGAGACCCTGCCTCAAAATACAAAATAAAATGAGCTAGGGATATGGCTCTGTGGTTAAGTGCCCCTGAGTTCAATCCCCAATGCCAAAATAGGGAAAGAGAGGCTGGGGATATACCTCAGTTGGTAGTGCTTGCCTCACGTGCACATGGCCCTGGGTTCAATCCTCAGCACCACAAAAAAAAAAAAAAAAAGAGAGAGAGAGAAAGAAAGAGTGTATAGGCAATATACAAATACTACACCATTATATAAGGGACTTGAGCATTCAAGGATTTTGGGCCCTGGAACCAATCTCCCAATACTGAAAGATGACTGTATAATAATAACAACACTATACATGTTTATTATTTTTAAAGCCTATAGCATTCAGTATTACCAGGCAGTCTCCCGTTTAAATACTAACCAGAACCCTGATTAACTTCTGAGATCAAGCACATTCAGGGTGATATGACCAGACTAGTTCTTTTTCACTATTTATTTATCTATTTATTTATTTTGTAACTATAGATGAACAGAATGCCATTATTTGTTTATTTTTATGTGGTGCTAAGGATCAAACCCAATGCCTCACACATACTAGGCAAGTGCTCTGCCACTGAGTCACAGCCCCAGCCCCCAGACTAGTTCTTAATATCAATGCTACTTTAAAATTAAAAAGATAAAAATATGGCCAAAATTGTTCTATGAAACATATTAACATTTTAAACAATATTGTGTGTAATAAAACCTAGGAAAGGCTATACTGGTTATTTCATTAGTTAAAATCCTTTGTATTTACATGTAACAAAACCCAGCACTGGCTGGCTTAAGAAGGAGAGAAAAAACAATTTATTGGAAGAATAGGGGCTATTATCTCACAGAATCTCAAAACTTGAACAAACTAGACTCAGTAAAGACAGAGATCAGAGTATTTCTGTGACCAACAGGACTAAATTCTTCTAAGAAGTTTCTAAACCATCTATGTCAAAATCATTGGGATACTTTTTTTTAAGAATTCTAAGGAATTTTACACAATGAAGTTATTTAACAATTGCACAGAAATTTATATTTATGGAGCACTTTACAATTATTTGCTCATTAAATCTCAAGAGATTTTTGGGAAATATGTACATTTTAAGGTAGGACAAAGGAAAGAAAAATAGGTTCAAAGGAGATTTAAGGAAGGACAAGGAAATAAAATTTTAAAGTACCATATATTTTTTTCCAGACCTGTCACTCCCAATTTTCTGGGAAATCTGTAAACCCAACTTTTGTGCTATTAATTAGCTCACCAATAACTATATTAAACAGTTAAACAGGATATGATTTTTTTTTTCTGTATTAGGAGCTGAGGGGCTGGGGATGTGTCTCAAGCGGTAGCGCACCCGCCTGGCATGCGTGGGGCCCGGGTTTGATCCTCAGCACCACATACAAACAAAGATGTTGTATCTGCCGATAACTAAAAAATAAATATAAAAAAAAAAATAGGAGCTGAACCCAGGGGTCCTACACATGCTAGGCAAGAATTCTACCAGTGAATTACATCCCCAGCCCGAGATACAATATTTTGAGAAACTTATAATTTAGGGGACTTTCCAGCATTATCTATTGATCAGATAATCCACTTCAGCCTAAGGATCCTGAGAATAACCAGACCACCATAAACCATCTTGAGATCAACAAACTAATGTCATCTTTATATATATTCCCATACTTCTCCCCAAGTTTCCTTTAGAAGAGAAGAGCACATGCCTATAATCCCAGCAATTTGGGAGGCTGAGGCAGGAAGATTGGGAGTTTCAGTTCAGGCCTAGCAATTTAGCAAGACACTGTCTCAAAAAAAGGGCCGGAGATGTAGTTCAGTGGTAAAGGGTCCAGAGTTCACTTCCCAGTACTCAAAAGCATTAAAAAAAAAAAGAAGAAGAAGAAGAAGTGGAAAAAGGACCCCCTCAGTCTAGTTCCCGCCTCTTATCAAGATCCTCTTCTAGAGATAAACTCTTTTCCCATGACAATTCCATTAGTTTAATCATATAAAATAAAAAGAGCTCAGGATGTAGCTCAGTGGTAGAGTTCCTCCTAAGTTCAATCCCTAGTACAATAAAAAAAATCTCCAAGATTGGGGCCTGGGTGTTGGTATTTTCAAAAAGCATCCTAGGTTTTCCCAATATGTGACCAGAGTTAAGAACTACTTACTGTTGGGCTGGGGATATGGCTCAAGAGGTAGCACGCTTGCCTGGCATGTGCAGGGCTATGGGTTCGATCCTCAGCACCACATAAAAATAAAAAATAAAGATGTTGTGTCCACTAAAAAAAAAAACTAATAAATAAATAAATTTATTTAAAAAAAAAAGAACTACTTACTATCCAGGGGCTATGGCTGTGGCTCAGCGGTAGAGCTGCTTGCCTAGCATGTGCGAGGCCCTTGGTTCAATCCTCAGCACCACATAAAAATAAAGATATTAAGAAAAAAAAGAACTACTGTTCAGCTGCATATCATTGAGCAGTTTGTTCACCCTGTAAGGCCCCAGAATAAAGGGGTTCAGGAAAGACTAAAATTCAGTCCATACACTGCTCGCCAAGCAGTATACTCTATTTTAGGAGTAGCATCTCTTCAGCTTGTCCAATTTTGCCTAATTCTCAGATACAGGACCCTTAGGTCATTCTCCTGTTCTTGGACATGCATTGTTTCATATCCTACAGAGTTTATTTTCAGTTTTTTTAAAATTACATTCAATAAATTTACTTTTAGCATCTACTATAGGCCAGGCATTGGGTATGCGCTAGGAATACAATCACAAAATATTTATAGTTCCTTTCCTTATGGCATCCATAGCCTATTGGAAAAGACAAATGATTAAACAGAGAATTAAATAATAATGTGAGAAGTGCTCCAATGGAAACAAATATGGAATACCAGGGAAGGACACAGGGCAGATGCAGTATCCAGACCTGGGGCTCAAAGGAACCTGATGGTGGGAGAGATGTAACTGACCAAGGAAAAAAGAAGGGGATGGTGCTGGGCATAGTGGCACATACCTGTAATCCCAGTGGCTCTGGAGGCTGAGGCAGGAGGATCTTGAGTTCAAAGTCAGCCTCAGCAACAGCAAGGCACTAAGCAACTCAGTGAGACCCTATCTTTGAATAAAATATGAAAAAGGGCTGGGGATGTGGCTCAGTGGTCGAGTGCCCCTGAGTTTAATCCTCAGTACCAAAAAAAAAAAAAAAAAAGAAGGGGATGGCACCAAGTGTGGTGGCACATGCCTGTAATCCTAGCAGTTTAGGAGGCTGAGGGAGGATCCAGAGTTCAAAGCCAGCCTTAGCAACTTTGCAAGTCCCTAAGCAACTTAGCAAGACCCTGTCTCAAAATAGATAAAAAAAAGGACTGTGGATGTAGCCCAGTGGTAAAGTACCCTGGGTTCTATCCAGTACAAAAAAAAAAAAAAATGGTGAGAGTTATATGTGAGGTTGTATAACTAGTAGCAAAATTTCTACTTCTGGACATTCTATTCCATTTAGTTTTATGCAAACTAGCTGACTTTGGCCTGGTCTTATCCAGAAAAAAGAACATTGAAGTTAATGAGTGTTAGAGCTGGGTGCAGTGGAGCCAGTTGATATTCCCAGCTACCTGGGGGGCGTTGAAGCAGGAGGATTCCTTGAGCCCTAGAGTTTAGACATGTTTCTTCAGGAAAAAAAGGAAAGAAAGAAAAAAGTTAATGAGTGTTTATTTTAACTACCAAATAAGGTAGTTAAAAGAGCCTTGAGAGTAAGATCAGAAATGCTGGTTCTACTCCCCATTCTGCCACGGTTTTACACTTTGACCTTGAACAAGGGTGTGTCAGAGAGGGTGAGCAAGAGCCCAAGAAGTAGGGGGCTGGCACTGGAGTTGTACCTCAGTGGTAGAGCTCTTGCCTAACAGGTTCCAGGCCTTGAGTTGGATTCCCAGAACTACCAAAAAAAGAAAAAAAGAAAAAAAAAAAGGAAAGAAATTAAAGAAAAAAGTGTAGCAGAGACAGGCATAATGCCACACAAGAAAGGATTAAAAGTTCAAAGCCAGCTTCAGCAACTTAATGAGACCCTGTCTCAAAAAATAAAAAGGGCTGGAGATGTGCCTCAGTGGTTAGTAAGAGTGCCTCTGGGTTCAATTCCCAGTATTAAAAAAAAAAAAAAAGTGTACAAGAAAGTAAAGGTGAGGGACTGGGATGTAGTTCAGTTGGTAGAGTGCTTATTTTGCATGCACAAGGCCCTGGGGTCGATCCCCAGCACCACAAAAAAAAAAAAAAAAAAAAAAAAAAAATCAAGCCACTAGAGGGGTTTAATATAGTCTTGTGCTTCATTCTCACTTTTTTATTCAGTAGTACTGGGGATTGAACCCAGAGCCTTGTGCATATGAGGCAAGCACTCTACCTACTGAGGTACATGCCCAGTCCCCTGTATAGTTGTTCCTACAGAGGCCAGCTAGGTAATGTAAATGAGTCTAGTATTCCAGTCTCAGTGGGAACTGAGAACTGGAGAAGACAAGCCCACTTACTCATTTTGGCTGATGGTTGGTGGTACTCAAACTCTGATGTCAGATCTTCCTGTTTTCTAAGAGACTTCACGAATTAGGAATTTTAATATGAAGTATCCCAATTTTTAAATCTTAACAACTTATTCAATTTTTTTTAAACATAGAGGACTAAAAAATATATGTTAGCAGGCCAAATTATGATCCATTACATGTCCAACTTCAACCTGGACAATACAAGCAAAAAGGTTTGTGTGTGGTAGTTACTTGGTCAGAGTATTTTCAGATGCCTTTGCATACCTGAGCTATTTATATTTGTTTCTGTGTCCTTGCCTGTTTGATCTTGGCTGTCAGATATCAAGCATGATTCAGCTCTATACTCTCCTCCCCCACATCCACCAAGCACCCATATGAGGCATTAATAAAGTCCCCAGAAGTAAACTTTTTTAAGTTTTATAAGCAGAATTGGGGTATAGCTTAGTGATAGGGTGCTTAGCATATTAAATCCCAAGCACTGAAAGAAATAAAAATAAAATTTTATAATTTCCATCAGCAGTTTTGGATATATTTGTGCATAGCATTCAACTTATGAATTTACTTATAGGAATTTAATTAATCAGGGATATATTATAATATTTTTATATAAGAATTTTATCTTTATGTAAAATAATGACAAAATTGGGAGAAAAAAATCTAAATATCTAGCAATAAAGATTAATGAACATATTATAATGCACATGAGCATTATACAACCATTAAAAATTAAGAGTCAGGGGGCTAGGGTTGTGGTTCAGAGGTACCAGGTTCGATCCTCAGCACCACATAAAAATAAAATAAAGATATTGTGTCCACCTATAACTAAAAAACAAATATTTTTTAAAAAATTAAGAGTCAGTAGATTGGGAGGATCCTGAGTTCAAAGCCAGCCTCAGCAACAGTGAGGCACTAAACAACTCAGTAGTGAGAGCCTATCTCTAAATAAAATACAAAATAGGGCTGGGGATGTGACTCAGTGGTTGAGTGACCCTTGGTATCCCCCCCAAAAAAAAATTAAGAGTCAGATGCAACTTATCAAGACCCTATTTTAAGATTGGGGATAGAGCTCAATTGGTGGAGTGCTTGCCTCATGTGCACAAGGCCCTGAGTTCAATCCCCAGCACCACCAAAACCCCTCAGGATTCCCATTCCTGTGGGTCTTCCTTTCCTTTCAAGACCCTATCTCAAAATAAAATTAAAAGGTCTGGACATGTAGCTCAGTAGTAATCTCAGTAGTATATAACTCCTGAGTTCAATCCCCAGAACAAGAACAGGAGGGAGGGGGAAGCAAAAACCATTACATTGATTCTGTCTTGGTAGTAAAATTAAGATATGATAGGGGCTAGGACTATGGCTCAATGGTAGAGCCCTCACCTAATATATGTGAAGCACTGGGTTGGGGCCTCAACACCAAATAAAAATAAATAAAATAAAGGTATTGTGCCTACCTACAGCTTTAAAAAACAGATTTGAAGGTCCCACACACAGTTAAAAATGTTCTCTTTTTTTAAATTAAAAACATAATAATCAGGGGCAGGACTGTGGCTCGGTGGCACACTTGCCTGGCATGTATGAGGCATTGGTTTCAATTCTCAGCACCAGTGAGAACCATTAAAAAATTAAGAGTCAGGGGGCTGGGGAGGAGCAAATAATTGAGGCCCTGCGTTCAATAAATAAAATAAAGGTCTATCAACAATTAAGAAAAAAAATTTAGAAATCATAATAATCAGGGGCTGGGGATGTGGCTCAAGCGGTAGTTCGCTCGCCTGGCATGCGTGCAGCCCGGGTTCCATCCTCAGCACCACATACAAAGATGTTGTGTCCGCCGAAAACTGAAAAATAAATATTAAAAAAAAGAAAAAAAAAAGAAATCATAATAATCAGCCAGTGCGGCAGCACTTACCTGAAATCCCAGCTGCTCCTGAAGCTGAAGGAGGAGGATCCCGAGTTCAAAGCCACCCTCTGCAAAAGCAAAATGCTTAACAACTCAGTGTGACTCTGTTTTCAAATAAAATACAAAAAATAGGGCTGGGGATGTGGCTCAGTGGTCGAGTGCCTCTGAGTTCAATCTCTGATACCCCCCCAAAAAGTAATAATCTTATCATTTAAATTAAAGAAGTATATAGTCTTGAAACTTCTCCATTTCCCTCTGCTCCAAATTTAATCCACAACATCTGCAAACTTCACATTTTCCTAGATTTGTTTCCTCTGTGTAAACCACATGTACATCAATGGAATCATCCTATATGAATCATTGTGGAACTTTTTTTCCTTTTAACCTAACACTAAATCCTGCACACTTGAGCTGGGGGTATAGCTCAATTGGTGGAGTGCTTGTTTAGCATGCATAAGGCCCTGGGTTCAATCCCCAGTACCACAAAAAAAAAAAAAAAATCCTGCACATTTTCTATTTCAGTCTATATACAGCTACCTTCTATTTCTTTGTGTAATAAATCAATTTATCACTCTAACCATACCCCTTTGATGAGCATTCTGGTCACTGCCAGTTCTTCACATTTACAATAATAGAGCAATGAACAGCAATAAATATTAGCTAAGGGCAGAAAGCCTGAAAGAAAAAAATTAAAAACAGAAAAAAAAAGGGGTTGGGGTTGTGGCTCGGCGATGGACCCCCCTGGGTTTGATCCTCAGTACCACATAAAAACAAATAAGTAAAATAAATGTATTGTGTCCAACTACAACTAAAATGTAAAATATTAAAAAAGGGAAATATTTTGGGTTTTTAATCTTTACATATTTCTGTATTTTCTAAGATTTCTGCAATAGTTATGTCATTTACAACTTGGAAGGGAAATATAAAGCTACTTAAAATATCTACTTAAATAATATCTACTCAAATATCTACTTAAAAGAAGAAGAACAAAGTAAGAATTAAAAAGTAAGTCTTGGGGGGCTGGGGTTGTGGCTCAGTGGTAGAGTGCTTGCTTAGCATGTATGAGGCACTGGGTTCAATCCTCAGCACCACATAAATGTGAAATAAAGATATTATGTCTAACCAAAACTTAAAAATAAATATTAAAAAAAAAGTAAGTCTTGGGGTCTGGGATTGTGGCTCAGTGGTAGAGCACTTGCCTAATAAGTGTTGAGGCACTGGGTTCAATTCTCAGCACCACATAAAAATAAATAAACAAAATAAAGGTTTGTGTACATAAACAACTAAAAAAATTGTTTTAAAGTAGTCTTGAAATGAGACAGACATTATTACCCTATGTATTATTACGTGTACAGCCAGAGAAATGAGAAATTGTGCTCCATTTGTGCATAATGAGTTGAAATGCATTCTGCTGTCATTTATAACTGATTAGAACAACAAACAAACAAAAGCAATCCTCAATTGAAGGGCAGTCTTGGATGCTTCCTGCAGAGGCGGGGCTGGGAAGACAGAGGGAGAGGCGAGTCGCCAAGGTCTGCACCAATCAGAGTCCGGTTGATGGGCAGACCCTGGAGAAGCTGGAGACACTCCCCGTCCCTTAAACAGCCACAGAGATCGCTTGGGTAAGTAAGCAGCCTGGAAACCCTGCTGGAGCCTATCCTGCGCATCGCTGAAGATTGCTATTGGCTGCTAGAAAAACCCATCCCACCTTCATCCTCATTGGCCCCCGCGGTTTACGTAAGAGGAGCCTGTTGCTGAGCAAAAAGTAAGTGCAGTTGCTTTCGTTGAGAAGACATTAGGACTGAAAACCTGCTGGGCGTCCTTGAGTCAAAACAAAACGAAACAAAAAAGCTACAAGTTTATTCAGCTCCTGCTAAATGCCAGGATCCATACTCCAAACTTTAAAATATTAATAGTTATCTTGACTACCCACTGGTTGTCAGTCACTGAGCTAGATCCTTAAAGAGTCACAACACTATAAATAATAATTACGACTTATGGAGCACTTAAATCCGAGTCAAACCTTAGCTCTCATCCGTACAATACCCCCGTGGAGATAAACTTTATCGCCCTGTTTGACACAACAGGAAACAGGTTCAGAGAGGTGGAGTGACTTGTCCAGGTTCACACATCTAGAACAGGTTAGAACTGGGAAAATTTAGACTCCAATACCTTGATTTCAAATCCAGCCTTTGGTGGGGGCGGGATACGGAAGTTTTTGAGGGGTAGGAGAAGTGGAACATTCTGTAGCCAGAGCCAGGAACAGGCCTCATGGTTGCTCTCTGAGAATTGAGATGTTTAGAGCTTTTGGGAGTGGAGGCTGGGGGGAGGGGCGGGACAACAGAGCAAGGGACAAGTTGTTCTTTCCGGAAACGTGAGGTTCTTAGGGCACCCTATTAAGTCATAGGTGCCCTTGGATCTCAAGATTCTAGTCTCGTTTCTGTGGGCAACTTTTCTTTCGTTCTTCCTTTTTGTGGTGCTGGGGATTGAAGTCAGGGCCTCATAGATGCAATGCAAGTAGTCTACCACTGAGCTACATTCCCAGCCCTGCTTGCAGGTTT